GATCACAGCTGAGCAAACTCAACTCTTCTATTCACAAATGTTTTCAGATCAGGCCTCTTAATTTACAGCCCCAGCACTAATAATAAAAAATAAACCGGTAAAATACTTAGAGGAATGGATAATGTTTGATCCTTACTCTTTAGAGTAGATCACAGCAGATCAGTCTAGTAAGCCCATGTGCTAGACAGAAGCCCCAGACTTAGAGGCACGTACTTTGGAGCATGTTTGCTGGGAAATCGCTTTAGTCTCTTCTTCCTCAGGGTTGCTTTGCCTCCCTCTGGTCTGTGAATGTAGCCTCGCTTTGCCATTGCTCTTGCTTTTATACTCTTTAGGAAAAAATAAAATGGAATCTTGTTTTCCTTTAGTCAAAAGAGAAAACCCCACACGTTAATGCTGCTTCTTGATCAATGGAAACTGGAAAATGAAAGTACGGCAGGTGCATCTAGCTCCTAACCCTCTGCCCTCACCAGGGATTCCCAGGTGAGGGAACCTCTGCATGACATCATGACCAAATGATGCAAGGTTTCCCTGCCTAGAGTAGGCGAGTTCTGTTTCTAATCTTAGCATTGCCCAGCTTCCGGGTTTGCGGTGTTATTGTAACGATCCACTGAGCAGCCTTTTCATTCATTTTTTCCCCCATCCTCAGGAGTGACTCTGCGAGTCATCACTGATCAGCGAAGGGTAGGAGGAGAGTGGTTTCAGTGGTCTCACAACTGGGCAGAAAGGGACTGTTCCCAGAAGTGAGCCTTCCCTTGCAGTCTCGATAACATCCAGGTTAACTATCCATGTTTGTGATTTACCTGGGAAGCAACGGCCTGGGGGAAGGAGAACCTGGGAAGCACTTTTGGCACTAGTCCAAGGGGTAGTCTGAGATCAGGGCCTGTCTGAGATCTGGGCCAGGGAGACTGAGAACCAGAAGCCTGAGAGCTGGGCCAGGCTGAATGGGAGTGTGGCAGGGGAGCAGGCCGGGGCTGGCAGAAGGTTAGTAGAAGCTGCAGCAATAGTACAGTACAGCCCAGGGGAAACAGCAGAGAATGGAGGCTGGAGGCACAGAGGTAGCAGCCTTCCAAGGTACTCCAGACCAGGACACTGGTCTAGAGAAGGACTCTTCTTCACCACTGGGGAGGGGCTGTGTGTTTTCAGAGGCACTGACATAAATAATGCCCTTACCAAGGGCAGGCCAAGGTCTCAGCCTGAGTCACCCCTATGGCACGGATACACTTGTATTCAGCATGAGGCGTGGCCAAAGTTGCAGAGTTAGGAACTAGCACATGTATCTTTTCTTGTAACCGTTCAAACCACTGTAGTGAGGGAACTCGCTTCCTTTTATTTCTTCCATGCCTAGTAAGGAATCGTTGCAGCTGGGCTGTGAGTGCATGGGCCTGTTGGGTAGAGAAGCTGGTTGAGAAAGACTCTGCAGAATACTTCTTCCTTCGGCCTTACAGCCTCTTCTGTTGTCCTCTCACACCAGTCACATCTCTGACTGTTTCTGGCTGCATCTAGCTCAGAACCCTCTACCCAGTCTGACTTGCAATCAGCCTATACAGGTCATGCCTGGTGAGCGTCTTACTCCCATGGACTCTTTTAATTAACTGAGATGATTGTGATGTCAGTTCCTGAGTTAATTTTAAAGTCAACATTCCTGCCATAAATATTCAGTTTCACTCACCAGGCAAGCTCTATATCATCACAAGTGATAGATCCCAGAAACAATGGCTCTTAATTGTCTGTAATATGATCAACTCCCTGACTGCTTTGATGCAGCAAACAGGTGCAAAATGTCCATATTTTGTGCATTTAGTACACCATGTGTCTCTGGCTTGACATGCATCATTTCTTGAACTATGACTTTTTCCACACCTTGTTGATGTAGGCTGAATCTGTCCCTCTTAGTCACAGAGCTCTCTGGTAATGCCTTTTAATACTCATGCTGCATCTGTTAACAGCTCCTAAGCTAGTTTTTTTGCTTAATGGCTTTGTTATTTGAATAGCTGTGGCTAAGATTAAATCTTTCAGTGGTAGCTGCTGTGAAAGGTTTTTAATCTGTTAATGCAATAACTAGACTGTCTGATATTTCATGTTTTGCATTCCCATGATCACAGTTTTCAGCCAGAATATGCAGAAGTCTTATGAAACATTCAACATTTTCCCATGGCTCTCGAATTCTCGAGTTTTCATAAACCACTTATTTCTGAGGTATAAAGAACGCATGAAACATAGCCAGAACGCTTGCATAGTCACGTTTGTGAATGTATTGAGTAAAAATCAAAGGATATAGAGATATGCTCTGCCTGCGACTCCACGGCATAAATGAAAGAATATACCTGCATATCTCCAGTTTCTTTGTGGACCTTGATAACAATGTGAAATCTTGAAAAATATTATTTCCAGCCTGTCCATTGGAAAGGTTTGTCAAAGTGGACATTTTCTGAGGCATTGAAGAGTGGCATGTTGATGAGATCCTGCAACCTTTCTTGCTTTGTTCCTTCTGTCTGCAACTTTTGTTGCTGTTTCCTTCTGTTTCTGTTCTTAGTTTACTCATGACAACAAGTCACGTTCTCCTGTACCAGCAATGGCCTGGTCACAGAGCTTGCTTATATATACCGGATATGTTCATCATAAGATTCTTTAATACTCTACCAGGTATGGCTCAGTAAGCTTTAAATAATGTATTTTGCACACAGCACTACGTGACTGAACAGTATAATACAGTTTAGCATCCATTACTGCCTGTTCCAGCCAAAAACCAGCCAGTAGCAAGTGAAGCCATGCCTTTGTGGTCAGGTCAAGCACAGTACACCAGAGTGGCAGTGCCAACACTACCATCCAACAGAGACATTGGGCCTACATCCTCTAAGGCAAGGAGTGTAGATTAGAGGGAGGCTGAATGACTCTTGCACTCAGGAAAAAATGTGACAGTACTCCCGGTTGGTATTTTAAAAGTCTCCGATCAGTGTGTAGTTAAAGCAGCTGTCTTGGGGAAAGCAATCTACATTCAGCTCCAGGAGGCAGCGCTGTCAGTTCAGGGGTATTGCTGTCAGTTCAGTGGGAACCTGTCTGTTTCTCAATCTTGTCATGTGTGAACTTTGCAAGCCACAAAGTAGGAGCTTAGTTTTTGCTTGGACTTTGCCGCAAGTGCAGAAGTCCTCTCAGGGTTGCTCTGAAATGGTGTGCAATCTGCGAGCTTGGTCTGAGGTTCCAGCTTCTTACGGAATTGACAGTCACAGGAATTTAGTCTGGGCTCCCCAGGAAACATTTGTTTGCCTCTAATGGTAATGCCAAAAGGAAGGAGAAAGACAAGAGTCACATCTCTCTTTGGCCTTTTAGTTGCGTGTTTGGAAATGCAGTGAGGGTGATCCAAAAGCAAGCAGCTTCACAATGCAAAAGGGAGGCAGTGTGGCCT